GTTCTCGTTCGATCACCGAAGTTAAGCAGCGTCGAGCCGGGTTAGTACTTGGGAGGGAGACCACCTGGGAATACCCGGTGTCGTAGACTTTTTTTTTGCATTTATAAAACTTTTTTTTTGTTTATTTTATATGTTTTAATTAGTATTTATATAAAATAACCATCCATGAATATTTTTATGTATTATCATCATGACTAGTAATATAATTAGTCTAAACGTGTGAAATAAAATGTGTTGCACTTGGATCAATTGTAAAATATGAGTGCAAAGCAACCATAGTTTTTAATAAACAATTATCATATTTTAATTTCTATATGTGTAATTTTTTTGCAATAATAGTTGTATATTATGTAATAGCTTTGAAATAAATACATTATGGGCAGAATAAAAACCCTAGCTGCACCGAAAACCTCTGAAAAGTACTAACCGTACTTTTACAATTGTAAACAAATCTTTGACAGTGCAATAAATGATAAAAGTTACATATAAACATAACATAAAATGTTGATATAGCATTTAACAATACATGTACATTATATAATGTGATACAGCCCAAGCATTTTTATGGTCATTCAATTTTAAAAACAATAATTAACTAAATTATTTAATTCATTCGCAGTATTACAACTGTGTCCACAATTACAGCATGATAATAGTATGATTGCAACCAATATTGATTAATCATATTCATTTGTTAATGTTTACTGTAGTGCATTTCGTGCACTAACTATTTATTAGTGATACTAACTCGTTAATTATCAGAGTACGAATCTATTAAAAATTCTAGCTGTGCACATTTTAACTGAAAATACCCCGATTGGTGAAAAATAACCCTAATTGAACGAAATGTACGAATGTAAAATATAAGGGTCAAAAACACTATATAAACAGAAAGTACTGCTTAAAAATTATTCAAACTTAAAAGCTTTCAAATAATTGTGCTTAAATATCAATTATATTTCAATATTAACTTTTATATAACCGTGATCAAATATTATATTTGCAAATTACAATGTTTGATTTAAACATTATTTTAACCGTGTTTGCTGTGGGCATAACAGCAATCGCTATGTAAGATACTTATTATAATAGGATTAAAATATTTTATTAAACTTGATACAGTATTAAAGTTCATTTAACAAAAAATTGCGCTAAATTCGATCACGCAGATATTTACGACGTCAGTGGACATACTGGGCACGCCAGGGTTTACCCAGCAAAAATCATCCCGATGTGGTGGGCTTTTTCAAAAATCACCACGAGTGGACACTAGAGCAAGTGAACAAATACGGCCGGGTATACGGGACCTACACTATGATAACAAGTCCGGCTATCATAGTAAGCGAGCCCGATTTGCTCAGGGACATTACCACCAAGGATTTTAGCAATTTCCCCGACCGCCGGCATTTCCATACGGGCAGCTCTCCCATCGGCCAAAGTCTGTTTCTGATGCCCGGCAACGATGACTGGAAACGGCAACGATCTATACTATCGCCGGCCTTCACGTCCGGCAAACTGCGGGCAATGATGGCTCAGATCGACGATATTTCCGATAAACTTGTGGTCAATTTGAATGAATTTGCCCGAAAAGGTAAATTGAAATTTTGTTGTAAAAAACTGTAAACTATGCTCAATTAGTTAAAAATTTTAACTGTTTATTTTAATGTTATTTAATATTGGCTAGGAGCAAAACGAGGAAACTTATTATTTTAACATTTAGTTTATAAAGTTGCAAACTTTTTTAATTTAAATTGTTTAATTTTATTCAACCAGGTGAAACAGTAGATATGCGTAAATACATAGGAGCGTTTGCAATGGATGTGATCAGTGCCTGCGCTTATGGCATAAACCCTGAGTCCATCAACAATCCGGACCATCCGGTGGTCACAAACGCTATGAAAATACTAAACATTGACGTCGGGGTCGGGTTTATAACATCGGTTATGTTCCCTAAACTGGCAAAACTATTGGGTTGTGAGCCCTTTGACATCAAAGCAGTGAAATATTTTGATGAACTAACAAATCAAATACTCAGTGAACGCAAAACTCGCAACAAATATACAGCTAATGATAAATGTAAGCAAAAATAATTAATACAAAACTAAAACTATTGTTATTTTATTAAAATAAAACTAATTATAAATATATACTTATAGCCAAACGGCGCACAGATTTCATACAATTAATGATAGATTCGGAAGAGACTGAAGACAAAGACAACGGCTATAACTCTATATCCGATGGCGAGACCGAAGCGGCAGACAATCACCAAACGGTTCCCAAGAAGTCTGTGGGAACTCTCAGTGCCGACGAACTCACGGCTCAGTCCATATTCTTCTTCATAGCCGGTTACGACACGACATCCGCCGCCATAACACACGCCATATATTACTTGTCTGAACACAAAGATTGTCAGCAAATACTATACGAAGAGTTGCAAACTTGCAATGAGTTTACGTACGAAAACTTATCGCAACTGAAATACTTGAACGCAGTTATCAACGAAACACTACGTCTCGCGCCTTCGCTAACACGTGTTCAACGCGAGTGTCTCTCGGACTATAAACTCGGAAATACCGGTACTTTGTTTAAGACAATTATTTTAAAAATTACATTAGTAAAACATTTTATTGTAATTACAAACAAACAGGTATTACAATACCAAAGGGAGCATCGGTTGAGATCCTACCCTACGCTTTGCACAGACAGGCAGACCTGTGGCCCAACCCTAACGACTTCATACCCGACCGGTTCCTAAACCCCGTTCACCACCCGTACGCTTTCATGCCGTTTGGTGGCGGACCCCGACTATGCATTGGCCAGAGGTTTGCGTTGAACGAGATGCGAATGTGCCTGGCTAAGTTGGTCAATAGTATGGAGTTTACACCCAGTCAAAATAAAACCAAGCTAGAATATTTTAATGGCAGCATATTAATGTCACCAAAGAGTCTTATGGTTAATTTGGAAATAAGAAATTAATTCATCAATATTTAATCATTATCAATAATTTGTGTTTTTATTTAGTTTGGATAAAATATAATTTTTCATGAATGTAATCTCTTGTTTATATTATATACATATCATTTAAATGTTCATAAATATAACTTAATTATAATTATAATAAGCATTAATATTGACTATTTATTATTATTTTGTACATTTGTTTATCAATAAATGGTAATTATTATTGCAATTTCTAGAGTAACATATTTTATTTTTCAAATTAAATATTAAAAACAGAAAAATCCAATATCATAATAATTACTTATAATTACTAACACTAATAATTAGCTTATTAATTGATTTGGCCATGAGGGTATTTAAATAAAATTTATTTAAGTACTACTTATGATTAATTTTTCCTTTCATGGTAAATATGATAACACCTTAAAAATATAACAAATAATTATAATAAATTAAATCTATTGATAACAGGAAATTTATCATCATGTTTAACCAGAATTATAATGCAATAAACTGTTAAAATTACAAAGTACTATAAAACATATGCCCTTTATTTGGACTACAATAATATTACAATAAAAAAATATTCAGTGATATCCTATTATGATTTATTAACCGACAATATTAAAAAACATTATTACTATTTTATTTATTTTACATAGGTACTTTGGTATTTTAAATAAATTATTTTGATAAATATAATAATACTAAATGCACTCATGGATAGGCAGTACAGTCTACACACGATTCCTTGTTTATAAGGGATTTTCCTTACATTTTCACTAATACTACTAATGTAATTCACTAATGTACTAAATGTTTGTATGAGTTTGTATGAGTTGAATTAGGCTATTGCTATCTGATTAAATATATTTAAAACTTGTTTATATTCAAAACATGTTTAGGCGTTTAATAATATGTTTTGATTAAAACTGTGTTTATATATAAATCGATGACAAAATTCAATTCAAATGCATTTTATAAAATATTGATTACAAGAATTTATTGAAAGGCATAAAATTGTAATTTATAGTTTTATATTATTTTAAAATGGATCTATCAAGTTTTAACACCTATGTTACTTTTATAATTGTGTCTATAACAGCAGTTTTAATGCAAGTATATTTGTCATTTATTAAATTAATTATATTAAATAAGTAGTTATTTATATTAATGAGAGAGAGAGAGAGAGAGAGAGA